CAACTCAGAATCTGATTGTCATCCGTTGACCATGACTACACCACTGGTTTGGTCATTGGTGGGAGCCCCAAACACGTCTTTACTCCAGGCGGTGTCTGGGTCATCTTCCGGATGGCTCTGTAGATGTTGGACACAGAAACCTGAGTCCTCCTTGTCGATTTGGCTTTCTAAACCTCTTCCTCATGTCCCTGCTGCCCTTTGCTGTGTTTTGATCCTCCAGCCAGCAGTGTTCATTGTGTCCATTAAAATACTTTATCAAAAATTTAGTAAATATAATTTGTAGGTGACTAAAATTAGACTAAAAATAGTTTTTGAGTAGAAAGCTGTGACTAAAATGTCCAGATGATTTTATCTCCTTAAATGTAACTAAATACAAACATGGGAGGAGAAACAAGAAGCAGAGGAATGTGATTAAATGTAATTATAATGAATTATTATCATTATTATGTTATGGAACATAGTCATCTAAATTTACGTACAATTTCAAGTCAACTAAAACTAGATTTACTTGATGTCTCTTGACATAACTGGGTTTTCACCATCCACACCTGCGTCCAGTTATTTGATCTACGATGTTTGTGTTTAGTCATGACTGAGAACCTACATTGTTTCATATAGATGCATATGTTTATTGAAATTGTGGACTCTTGATAGTGCAATTAATATTGCTGGACTACTGACATTAGTACATTTAAGTTTTCCAATTATATAGCGACACAATTGCTCCATAATAATTCAGTGTACTTCTATATTCATCGGTTAAAGAATATGTCAATATGTCGAATATTGCTTTTAAAATGCTAGTTTTCATTGTTGATTTGTTTAATTTTGTAATTATTATAAAATATGCTGAAAATTGGGGGTTCAAAAGTTTTATTATCATTATAATTATGTTTAGTAACATCATCATCATTGTTATAATAATCATTCTTATCATAGATGTTATAATTAAATCCTGTGTATTTTTGGTGAAACAAAGTGCCTGTAGAGTGAACACACGCAACAAAAACAACAAAACTTGGTGGGGACTGCAATACTTATATTGACCTTTAGGGGCCGATACTGAGTCCACACACACAACAAGAACACCTAACCTGGTGAGGACTGCAATAATGTGTGTGACCTCCAGGGGCGCAGGGAAATATACACACCTGACATTTTGTCATGAAAATGGGCCCAAAGGGGACTTGTTAGAAAATACCTCCAGGCACCATTAGAGGGTGTTGTGAAGCCTGTAATGGTGCTTTGCCCGTGGGGACCTCATTTTTGGTCCCCACGGGGACACAGGTCCCCACTAGTCTGTGTGCAGTCAGGTTGAGGTCCCCACGATGTAGCAAAAACAAACACACACACACACACACACACCCTGATGTGGGTGTCTGCGCCCGGGCGGGAAAAGAAGTATGGGTTATGGTCAGAGATGGAACAGGCCCTTCTGTTCTCCACCAGCACCTCCATCGAAGCAATCATTTCAGGAGTCAAAAGAACCGGCACTTTCCGACTTCTTTTCCCTTTAATTTCAATGCGTTGAAAATGCTGACACAGCTTTTTCTCAAGTTGGGACAGTCCCAGAGCAATGTCAGAATGGATCCCAGTCTTACTTCTTAAGGTAAAGGCTGTCAGTGGCATCTTTGAAACCTCACCTTCCCTTCTTCGATTGAAAATGATGACCACACAAAGAGTCAAAACTGCCAGTTTAGACCAATGCTTAGACGTTGGCTCACTTATTAGGGTTTGCACATATTCAGGTCGACATACCTCAATATGTGCATGCATGGCTCTAACGTCCTCAGTCAGAGGGAGCAGGTCCGGAGTGTTCCACTTGGCTTGCCGGAGGGTCTGTAGGGCAGCAGAAGAAACACAGACGTCCCACCTCTTCTCAAAAAGCAGCCGGCTTCGTTGGAGGTTTTTAATAAATAGTTCATCAACACAATGCTCCATTTTTGAGTCACATTCAAGAATATCTGCTAGCTTTCTGAGGCTATGGCCGAGTTTGAGGGCCAAGGATGGAGTCTTGTATTGATTTGTTTCCTCATCATATCCAGCCACAGACCTGACTGCATCAATCACATGGTTAAAGTTGGAAGGAATAAAGAAATCCTTAATTGTTTTCAGTTTCCCTGCGGTTTTTGCTTCGTTAATTAACCTACCGACTTCTCTCATTTTCTGCCTAATGTAATCATGCTTAGTCTTATCATGCCCGTGTTTTAAGTACAGGTGCTCTCCGAGTCTCAGAATCCCCTTTTCTGCTTTGACAACACCCGTGACCTCATCCTGATGCATTGCCGAAATTAAAGACCACAGCTTTTTGCTGATGCCCTCCGGTACAGGCTGGGCTAGGGAGCAGAGGGACTGGACCCTACTTCTACCTGGTTTAGCCTGGGCATCTTTCTGTGAAAGCCGGCACCTGGCCACATGCCTCCACAGCGACTTTCGCTTAAGCAATGCCCCACAGTCTATACAGTGCAAAAACTCACTGGATTTAACTGGGGAATTTGGCTGTTTAGCTGGGACTAAAGTTCCAATGCCGGCCTTTAAAACCTCAAAATTGTGCTCACGGTTTCCACTATTCCTGATCAAATCAAACTGAAGTTTACGTGCTTTAGATTTCACAGGTAGAGCCAATGCTCTGGCTACGTCACTTTCATTTCCATGTTTTCTAGTCAAATGACGGGACATTTTGTGGCAGGACATTGAACAGTAGAGGCAGAAGTGTCTCTTGCTGTAAACTCGCCCCCCATTTTTCTTCTTTTGCAGCTGCATGATAACAATCTTATTTGCCTTTGGTTCGTCACTTTCCGAGTCTTGAAGAAAAGTGTTTTTGATTTTTCTTTTTCCATACTTTTTTACAGGTTTCTTCTTGACAGTTAAATCGTCAGAATCTGAGTCGACTTCATCAATTAGGGACTCTTGACTAAGCTGCACAAACAACAAATAATTTGTAATCATTCTATATAACAATTTGAAGTCATGACTTGTAGTCAGCACTTACCAGTGGTTTGTAAGCGTGCGCTTCAGTGTGCTCCTCCATGATTTCTTGCAGCCTAATGAACCACACACTTGCACCTTTTTCTAGCCTGACACCTGATTTCCTCTGTTGTGCTGCTCCATGATTGGCTCCAGCCTGCTGGACTGAAATTGCCCCAGTGTGCCCCTCCTTGATATCCCGCAACCCACCACCAGGGTTCCGACACATAACACACTTTTTTCAGGAAAGTAAACCTCCAGGGGTCCTTTCCATATTTTTACAGAGACTGCATAAGGACCGTTAGAAAAGCATTACCCATTGATTATTAAGCTTGGACCAGTGGGGTCCAAGTAAAACCAGTCCCCATGACGTGAGTGGAATCTCAGGTTATGGAACCCACCAGGAGTTGAAAACAAGTGCACACACACACACACACACACACACACACACACACACACACACACACACACACACACACACACACACACACACACACACACACACACACACACACACACACACACACACACACACACACACACACACACACACACACACACACACACACACACACACACACACACACACACACACACACACACACACACACACACACACACACACACACACACACACACACACACACACACACACACACACACACACACACACACACACACACACACACACACACACACACACACACACCACACACACACACACAGGGGAGGGAGCCCACGCCCGGCCCATTCCCTCTCTTATTTTGTTCCTTTTTCCCAAGTGTTTTTCTTAACTAAATGTGTCATGCATTAAAATAAGCTTTCGCTTACCCTGACTTGTGTATTATCATTATATGCACATATTACTCATGTTATTATTATATTTATCTACTTATTCATTCTTTTTTATTTTATTATTATTAATTTTATTTTATTATTTTTATTTTAATTAATTCAAGGGACATAAAGAATAGATACAAATGTGTGACTAATTTGCAATTGATCGCGAGTTAACTATGAAATTCATGCGATTAATCGCGATTAAATATTTTAATCGTTGGACAGCACTAATCCATATATCACTAAAGTACTGATCAATTCAATTACTGTATCTGCCGTGCATGTCTGACTAACCAGTTAAACTACAAATATGTTAAGAGTCAAAACAACTCCTCTGTGTTCTGATACATCTTGACATCTGAAGCACTGGTGTGAGAGTGTAGTTGAAAAGTGGCTAAAACATTTCTCTGCTTGCATCAAACAAGCCATATACCACACAGACACTTTCATATATATATATCTCACCCAGTTATATTTATGAACTTTTAACCCCCTTTTAAATCACTTCTTAAAACCCACTTTTATCAAACAGCTTTTAACTGTTAGTTTTAAACTTCACATGCTGTATTTTAATGTCTGCTCTGTCTTTGTTGTGTCTCCCTTCTTGTGTTTGTATCTGAATGTATCTAATTATTTTGACTTTGCATTATGTTATTTTTTTATTATGCTGACTGTGCAGCGCTTTTAAACATTGTTTTTAAAAGTGCTATACAACTAAAGATTATATATGTGTGTTGTATACTATAATGTAATTCCAATATTATACATGATGTATTTCAATACATTTTTGACATTTGTACAATCTTTGTGAATAATCACAATTAATTATATTCAAAACCTGCAATTAAACCTTGCCCATCACTAGTACTGTTTGACATCCTGTCACGGAAATATACATTTGTAATAGTTGAGCAAAAAAAGGAATTATTGCACAATTATTTTGGATCAATAAAGTATCTTATAGATTGATTCTTTATACAGAGAACTTCCGTATAAAGAAGAATAATCTGTACGTATTTTTAAATGTGCCTTAAAATGTAGTTTAGTTTAGGTTTTTTTTTTTTTTTTTTTTGTGGTAACGTTGAAACCAGCCCCATTCTTGGCACCACTCGACAAAGTATCAAAATATTTATTGAAAGTGCCGCAACCGAGATTTTATTTAGGAGCTGAAATTGTGGCTGTTTACTCCTCAGGCTCAGGCTTCTCCGGAGACTACAGCGAGTACTTTGGCCTCCAGGTGGATGAAGACTCTTTGGTTTACCTAATGCTGGCTAACCACATAGTACACAGCCTTTACCCACACTGCATCACTGTAGCAGAGGTAAGGCACGGCCACGACCAGAGAATACTTGCGTCAGGGTCATCAAAGGACATTTAGGTTTTATAGTAGAACATTATAGATTATAGATACAATTATAGAACATATTTAGTAGGTGGGACTAACACAGGAATCATTCAATATCTCAATATTTACTTGCATGCAATGTTCCACGGTTTGATTTTTTTAATTTTTATTTAGTTTCACATGGTTTGTGTTCTAAATGTCACCATTTATAATGAGAGTGACTCACTTCAGCACCATAAAACATACAATCTCATCTTGATGAGTCTTTCAAAATATTGTAGAACAAAGTCAAATGAAATGCAAGAAGAACAATTTCCTATTGATCTCTAAGGGTATATCGGTATCATGAACGTGTCCATATCTTGACTCTGTAGTTAACATGACCTGATAGAAAGTACCTCTAACAGGGTGGCTCTTGTGCACTGCAGGACGTGTCAGGGATGCCCGCCTTGTGCCGTGGAGTGGAGGAGGGGGGACTGGGCTTTGATTACCGCCTGGCCATGGCAATCCCCGACAAGTGGATCCAGGTAAGACTATTTAGTCCTGACACATGGAGCGCTCCTCCAGCTTTTATGGTTGCCCGGGCTGCACACCGGGGTCTTCAAATGCTCTCAAAACTGGAGCGAGCACTGCACACAGAAGAGGGAAAAGGCAGCCGCAGTATTCCTTTAGCTTTCAACGTGGATAAAAGACGTGTGCGCAGCCGGGGAAGCACTAAACTCTGGTGGCATGCAGGAAAACAGCTGAGCCCGGCGCTAAGGTTGGGAGCCTTCTGAAAATGTGCTTTCAAGTGTAAAAAGTTGTTTTAGTGCAGAAATGACATGAAGATCTGATTCCAGGAAGAGACTTAACTGGGAGCAGTGACTCAGGTTTAAGGTTTTATTTTGCTCGTACACACAGAGTAGTTCTATTGTTTTCTTTCTCAGGTTTTCCAAAAGAAAGTTTATCAAAGATATGGAGGTTATTTATACTTCAGGTATTCACTAGCACTGTCTAAAAATGCAACGAGGGCATAGTAATAGAAGCAGAGCTTGAAGTTATGCCAAATTTGCACATCCAATTCAATCCAACTTTATTCGTATATCACATTTTTACCAGCACACAGATGCAGAGTAAAAAAGACAAATACATTCATAAGATAAAAAAAGAATGGTACATAATGAATGTGTATTTTATTATTTAGGGAGAGCCCCTTAGGATGCAGCATATATTTTCGAGAGGATCCCATAAACTTATATATAAAACACTGGTCCCTGTGTTAGCCATTACAATCGGTTGAATTTCGACCGACCAATCAGAGAGCGTGGGAGGAGAGAGTTGTAGTTAGATGTGGGTGACGTCAAGAGTTTGTGTCACACGGGCAGGTCGTAGTTTGCCAATGACGGAAAATGCGATAGTGAAGTAATCCGGTCTGGTTCTATCAAGAAATTGAAGCCGGAGCAATAGGAATGTTTAGCTAATGTAATCGCTGGAAAAAATTGTGGTGCTACTCCAACTTTTTTCCCTCTTATTTTGGTCAGGGGTAGTGCGGGGAGTGTGTCAGAGTTCCACTAGTTGGTCTTCCAGAGTTTGGTTCCATGTACAAACTGCTGCTGTGTTGCCTCCCTCAGTGTTTGCGCAGGTGCAGTGCTAGAGGTAGAGGGTAAGCAGGTCATAGACAATCGTAGCATTGTTTCAACAGTGTGATTTTCATCCGACCATAAGATTGTCAAGAGGGTAATTGCTGCTCGTTACCCTGTGTATACTACACAATGTGAGACGCACAAGTAAGCTTTAACTTGGCCCGATCCAAGAAATTCTTGCACTAGTGAGAAATTCCCTCAAAAAAGGGGCAAATATTGCACAGTGTATGCCCAGCTTAAGGGAGACTGAACCCAACTGGTTTCTTCTCTTCTCGTTGTTTTGGCTCTATTAAATATATGGTTTATACTTTTTAGATTAAGAGCCTGGGGGGGTCTTAGATGATTATTGGAGACAACAGGCGAGTGGATTGCTCAATTTTCAATTTTGGGTGACCTTGGTCTGTAAAATGCCCTATATAACTAAACAATACTCACTTACTTACAACAGATATAGGTTACAGTATGTCCTCTTTTTAAAAACATGAACATTTGAAAATCATCTACTAAGCCTTCCAAACTTCTCAAACCTGGTTCAATTCTTTGATAGACGGAACATATTGAAAAGTCACTTCTATGACTTTACAGATAAAGTGTGTGTGGTTAGTTCAGATGGAAGACACCACCACATTAATACTCTCAATGTCTTGCTTTTGGAATTAAATCTAATGAAATTGAAATAGGTCCCAGCAATACAGTCAGATTAAACGGCCTCCTTTTATCCACCCATGCTGTGTCAATACGCACTTCTTACATTGTAATTCCTCCGCCAGTCAGAGATTCCCTTGTCTCTGCATGAATTTGCCGGATTTCTTTGCTTGTTATGGTAAGCAGTCTCAAGTTTGTTCATGCGCAACAAATTCTGCGCCGCTTCACCTTCAACGCTCTCATTCAACGCAACTTTTCTTTTGTCACTCAATTTTCACCATCTAACTTCGAATCCATCGTGCTGTGCGAAACAGCGAGGCCATCCTTTACCCCTCCAAACGCACTTCTGAGAAAAGGCATGGAAGGATGTAATTGTTATTGGGAGGGGGGGAGAGGCGTTTGGCTCACTCCTCTTAAACCACACTTTTCTGTTGGATCTGTAATTACCGGCAGGCTTTGAAGGGAACATGCTTTCAGACAGTGGAGAGGTGGAATGACGAGCTTTGATAATGTTAACGCAGAGGTCGTCTCGTCGCTGATATAGACGAAAGATTCTTTTAAGACGTTATTTTCTAAAGTGGGGCTTTTGAATAGGCAACCAGTCACCTTTTTACATTTCCCTTTGATTCATCTTTCAGTCGCAAATATGTTTGAGAGATTTGATGTACGTTATGCGACGATTATCTGAGACTTTGATTTATGTAATGCAAACACAGGCAGCTTCAATAGACATTTTTTTCCCATACATGCCTTTTCCATTATCTTAGAGCTTTTCTATTAGAAACTTCTTCAGTGTAATGCAAATGGGTTTAAAACTGAAATGTCCTTTACCAATGCCCTTGGTGTAGTGATAGTCTCCAATGTAAGCATTTTTGAGTGTTTCAATCAAACCAGCATTTCACTAACCAACAGGGATTTTTGGAGATCAAACTTTGACTTGGATTAAAAAAGAAGAGAAATCCTACAATATTCTGACTATATCAATGACGTGCAGTCAGGGGATATATAAATATATACACACAAACATACAGTGGGGGGGGGAATATTTAGTCAGCCACCAATTGTGCAAGTTCTCCCCCTTTAAAAAGATGACGGAGGCCTGTAATTTGCAAATTATAGTGGTAAATAAGTATTGATCTGCTACAAACAAAGAATCCAGAAGAGGATTGAGAGAATGTCATATGGTCAGATGAATCCAAAATAGAACTTTTTGGTAAAAACTCTACTTGTCGTGTTTGGAAGCTGAGTTGTATCCAAAGAACGCCATACCTACTCTGAAACATGGGGGTGGAAACATTATGCTTTGGGGCTGTTTTTCTACAAAGGGACCAGCACGAGGGATCCGTGTAAAGGAAAGAATAAATGGGGCCATGTATCGTGAGATTTTGAATGAAAACCTCCTTCCATCAGCAAGGGCATTGAACATGTCTGGGTCAGCATGAAAATGATCCCAAAAACAGCGCCTGGGCAACGAAGGAGTGGCTTTTCAAGGTCCTGGAGTGGTCTAGCCAGTCTCAAGATCTCAACTCGATAGAAAATCTTTGAAGGGAGTTCAAAGTCAGTATTGCCTAGCGACAGCAGTAAAACATCACTGCTCTGCTCAGTGGAGATCTGCATGAAGGAATGGGCCAAAATACCAGCAACAGTGTGTGAAATCTTTGTTTGGGTGACAGAGCTCAAACGTTTTCTGTAAGTCTTCACAAAGGGTATATAAAAAAGTATTGATTAACTTTTGTTATTGAACAAATACTTCTCTTCCACCATCTTCACAAGGCTGGTATTTTGGGCCATTCATCCATGCAGATCTAGAGCAGTGTGTTTTGGGGCTGTCGCTGGGCAACAGACTTTCAATTCCCTCCAAAGATTTTCTATGTGGTTGATTCGGAGACTGGCTAGGCCACTCCATGACCTTGAAATCCTTCTCATGAAGCCACTCCTTCCTTGCCCTGGCTGTGTGCTTGGGATCATTGTCATGCTGAAAGACCCAGCCACGTTTCATCTTCAATGCCCTTGCTGATGGAAGGAGGTTTTCTTTCAAAATCTCACAATACATGGCCCCTTTCATTCTTCCCTTCACATGGATCGGTCGCCCTGATCCCTTTGCAGAAAAATAGCCCCAAAGCATGATGTTTCCAGCCCCATGCCTCACAATAGGTATGGTATAACACAGCATTATTTCTCCTCCAAACGCGATGTTTATACCAAAAATATCTATTTTGGTTTAATCTGACCATAATGGCGCGTTCAGACCGGACTTAACTTTGGCGTCAAAAGCGTCAGGTTTGCATTGAAAGTGAATGGTGAAGCGTGTCAAAAGCTTCAAAAGTCGCGAGTAATACACGCAACACTTGAAGCTTTTGACGCGCGAATCGCTCGCGTCTCTTTCCACGTCAAAAAAATCCCTTGACGCCGAAGCTGAGCAAAGCTGAGCTTTTGGAGCTTTGACGCAGGGTTCAACCAATCAAGAGACGAGCAGCAGCAGCTGCGGGTCTGTCTCTGTCATGGAGAGAAGTCATGTAACTGCTGCTGCTGCTGTTTTATTGTCATTAATGTTGTTAGTAATATTATTTGTATGAGTAGTAACGGTCTTGATAAGTGAGTAACAAAACCATTGTACACATGCTGTGAAGAAAACGTAATTTATTCAATATAAGAACAAGCTGACGATGAGTCTGGCTCAGAGCGAGGCAGCTCCAGGCGGGGAGAGGGAGAGGGAGAGGGAGAGGGGGAGGGAGAGGAGAGGAGAGGGGAGGGAGAGGGGAGGGGGAAGGGAGAGGGAAGGGAGAGGGAAGGGAGAGGGAAGGGAGAGGGAAGGGAGAGGAGAGGGAGAGGAGAGGGAGAGGGGAGGGAGAGCACAGGGAGAGGGGAGGGAGAGCACAGGGAGAGGGGAGGGAGAGCACAGGGAGAGGGGAGGGAGAGCACAGGGAGAGGGGAGGGAGAGCACAGGGAGAGGGGAGGGAGAGGGGCAGTGAGAGAGGCGAGGGAGGCGGTGAGAGAGGCGAGGGAGAGGCAGAGAGGCAGAGAGGCGGTGAGAGAGAGGCGGTGAGGGAGAGGCGGTGAGGGAGAGGCGGTGAGGGAGAGGCGGTGAGGGAGAGGCGAGCGAGAGGCGGGGAGGGAGAGGCGAGGGAGAGGCGAGGGAGAGGCAAGGGAGAGGCAAGGGAGAGGGGAGGGAGGGGAGAGAAGAGGCGGGGAGAGAGAGGGGAGAGGAGGGAGGGGAGAGGGGAGAGAGAGGCGAGGGAGAGGGGAGAGAGAGGCGAGGGGAGAGGCAAGGGAGAGGCAAGGGAGAGGCGAGGGAGAGGCGAGGGAGAGGCGAGGGAGAGGCGAGCGAGAGGCGAGCGAGAGGTGGGGAGAGGGGAAAGCGAGGCAGCTCCAGGTGGGCAGGGGAGCGAGGTGGGGAGAGAGAGGCGAGGGAGAGAGAGGCGGTGAGAGAGAGGCGGTGAGGGAGAGGCGAGAGAGGCGGTGAGAGAGAGGCGGCGAGGGAGAGGCGAGAGAGAGGCGAGAGAGAGGCGAGAGAGAGGCGAGAGAGAGGCGAGAGAGAGGGGAGAGAGAGGGGAGAGAGAGGCGAGAGGGGAGAGAGAGGCGAGAGAGAGGGGAGAGGCGAGAGAGAGGGGAGGGAGAGGCGGGGAGAGGGGAAAGCGAGGCAGCTCCAGGCGGGCAGGGGAGCGAGGTAGGGAGAGCGAGGCGGTGAGAGAGGCGAGGGAGAGAGGCGGTGAGAGGGGAGAGAGAGGCGGTGAGAGAGAGGCGAGGGAGAGGGGAGGGAGGGGAGAGAGAGGCGAGGGAGAGGAGAGAGAGGCGAGGGAGAGGAGAGAGGGGAGAGAGAGGCGAGGGAGAGGAGAGAGGGGAGGGAGAGGCGAGGGAGAGGAGAGAGGGGAGGGAGAGGCGAGGGAGAGGAGAGAGGGGAGGGAGAGGCGAGCGAGAGGTGGGGAGAGGGGAAAGCGAGGCAGCTCCAGGCGGGCAGGGGAGCGAGGTAGGGAGAGCGAGGCGGTGAGAGAGGCGAGGGAGAGAGGCGGTGGGAGAGAGGCGGTGAGAGAGAGGCGGTGAGAGGGGAGAGAGAGGCGGTGAGAGAGAGGCGAGGGAGAGGGGAGGGAGGGGAGAGAGAGGCGAGGGAGGGGAGAGAGAGGCGAGGGAGAGGAGAGAGAGGCGAGAGAGAGGGGAGAGAGAGGCGAGGGAGAGGAGAGAGGGGAGGGAGAGGGGAGAGGGGAGGGAGAGGCGAGCGAGAGGGGAGGGAGGGGAGAGAGAGGCGAGGGAGAGGAGAGAGAGGCGAGAGAGAGGCGAGGGAGAGGAGAGAGGGGAGGGAGAGGGGAGAGGGGAGGGAGAGGCGAGCGAGAGGTGGGGAGAGGGGAAAGCGAGGCAGCTCCAGGCGGGCAGGGGAGCGAGGTAGGGAGAGCGAGGCGGCGAGGGAGAGAGAGGCGGTGAGAGGGGAGCGAGGGAGAGGGGAGGGAGAGGGGAGAGAGAGGCGAGGGAGAGGCGAGGGAGAGGCGAGGGAGAGGGGAGAGAGAGGCGAGAGAGAGGGGAGAGGCGAGGGAGAGGGGAGAGAGAGGCGGCGAGAGAGAGGGGAGGGAGAGGCGAGGGAGAGGCGAGGGAGAGGCGAGGGAGAGGGGAGGGAGAGGCGAGCGAGAGGCGGGGAGAGAGAGGCGGGAGAGGGGAGAGGAGAGGGGAGAGGCGAGGGAGAGGGGAGAGAGGCGAGGGAGAGGGGAGGGAGGGGAGAGGCGAGGGAGACGGGAGAGGGAGAGGGGAGGGAGAGGCGAGCGAGAGGTGGGAAGAGGCGAGCGAGAGGTGGGAAGAGGGGAAAGCGAGGCAGCTCCAGGCGGGCAGGGGAGCGAGGTGGGGAGAGCGAGGCAGGGAGAGGCGAGCTCCGGTGTTTAGGAACTCAGACTGGGCGAGTGACATGCGGAAGTACCGCTGAAAGCGAAACTTCTTCGTACGCAGCTCCTGGAGTAAATGACGGAACTCAGCAAACACTGCGGCCTCTCAAGTCTGTGGTGAACCCAGAACATGTTTTTTGTAGAAACCCCACGACAACGTTATTGGGCTTTTATATAACAAATAAAGGCTCGCAGCTCTCTGGAAAATCCACCGTTGACTACAGGCAACAGAGAAGCTCCTCCCACCGGCGTCAGGTGCGTCACTCGCGTCAAAAGCTTCAAGCACCAAAAATGACCCTGCGTCAGTTGACGCGCGTCAAAAGCTTTTTGAAGCTTATGGTCTGAACGCGCCATTAGACTTTCTCCCAATCCTCTTCTAAATGCTCTCTAGCAAACTTTAGACGGGCCTGGACATGTACTGGCTTAAGCATTTGAGTCTGTGGCGGCGCAGTGGTTTACTGATTGTAGCCTTTGTCACTTTGGTCCCAGCTCTCTGCAGGTCATTCAATAGGTCACTCCGTGTGGTTCTGGGATTTTTGCTCAACGTTCTCATGATCATTTTGACCCCATGGGGTGAGATCTTGCGTGGAGCCCCAGATTGAGGGAGATTATCAGTGGTCTTGTATGTCTTCCATTTTCTGATAATTGCTCCCACAGTTGATTTGTTCACACCAAGCTGCTTGCCTATTGTAGATTCACTCTTCCCAGTCTGGTGCAGGTCTACAACTTTGTTTCGGCTGTCCTTTGACAGCTCTTTGGTCTTGGCCATAGTGGAGTTTGGAGTGTGACTGTTTGAGGTTGCGGACCGGTGTCTTTTATACTGATCACGAGTTTAAACGGGTGTCATTAATACAGGTAACGAGTGGAGGACAGAAGAGCTTCTTAAAGAAGGAGTTACAGGTCTGTGAGAGCCAGGGATCTCTTGTTTGTAGGTGACCAAATACTTATTTTCAAACATAATTTGCAAATTCTTTAAAAATCAGACACTGTGATTGTCTGGATTTTTTTCTAATAGTTGAGGTGTACTTATGATGAACATTACTGGCAAGTGGGAGAACTTGCACAATTGGTGTCTGGCTAAATACTTTTTTTTCCCCACTTTAGATGGTTCCAGTTAATTGCTGCAGAAAACTGAAATGAGTGTCCAAACGTTGTGCATGTTTTAGGCAAGATGTTAGAACAGAGAGTGGACTGGACCTGTGTATACGTAATGGGTAAGACGCTTTTATAACTGTTCATTATGAAGGATGTTTTGTGTGTTAACCAAAGTCTTCAGTTTGTCTGCAGTTGGCACTAGTGTCCCAATTCTATAGTTACAGGGATAATTTCAATTTGACAATTATGAACACAAACACTGCTGTTCAAAGCCCCAGTAAACATTTAAACGAACTTGTAGATGTGATGCTAATGCATGGTTGATTTATATGACGCTTGTAGACTACTGAATTGGCTCGTGGGATTGAGCCATGGTATTCCGTTGTCTGTGGACTACAGCCTGCTAGAACGGGTCCAGCGGGGAATGTTCCAAAGCATGGTTTAACCTCTCAACCACCTTATTGACTTGCATATATTGCAGTCATAAAAGTTTTGGGTTTGCATGTTTACAAATGTTTATCACAAAACTTTGACGAGCTCTCCATAGGTAAAGGACCACTTACGTCACTAATGATCACTGGCAAATGTGCCACCACTGCGCTACCCACCACCAGCTCTGATGCTCCATTCTCAATGGGATGTTCTGGGCTCCAAATGCTTAGCACCCTTCCATAACAACTGCTGAAGCATACTTTAGCTGGCCACTCTAGCCAGAACTGCCACTGTCGGCGGACTTAATGGCCCTCGATGGGAAAACATTGTTCATATCAGCGCCGCCATCTGATGTGAAAGTCTGGAGTGCCCATATGATGCGTCCATTTCTCTGCCTTGACTTGGCCTGTGTTTTGATGCTGTCTTTTCAAAGTTTTCCATGGGGATTACAACATAAATCACAATTCCACTGGCCTCTTTGGTGTCTACTTCAAAGTCTGTGTAAATAGGAGCGCTGCCCCTCCGCTGTCAGTATGCTCGCCCTGCCGGCCATAGTGATGTCTGGAACTTCAGGAAATACTGGAAGCAGAGCTGCTGGTAAATTAAAGGTTGAATATTATTTACCAGCAGCTCTGCTGAATGGCTGCTCCCAGTAAAAAAAATGGCTTGCTGCTAGTTGGCATATGTACTAATGCAGTTCCATCTTTCCAGTAATGAACTGCCTCAAATTGGGCCAGAAATTCAGCTTCATTGAAATATAGAATTACAATTTAAATTTCTGCCAACTTATTACAATTAGGCGCATGATTTACTCTGTTGGCTTGGAGAATGTAACTTTTTTTTAAAGTCTTTTGTCCTTTATTTGTTATGTAAAATAAGTGTAAGCAAAGCACAATTGCACATGTTTAAATGAATCAATATAGTGGCCACCCTTTGGATATACAGTAGGTTGTATTGTTAGAACCAAAGGGTAGGTATTGCACACCAAAAACCCCCTGATGAGGTGTGTTTGAACAATTTCAAACACAAGGTATTACGCACTCAAATATGGATGTCCAAATCATTATTAATCAGATCGTTGGATCATAGGTAGATAGATAGATGGATACTTTGATCCCCCATAGGAGAAATTCAGGTGTACAGTAGCAGAAAAAATCAAACGTCGTCATTACATTTTTCCAAAAGTTATCATTCCTAGAGTGAATTTTTGCCTGATTTGCTTGGTTCGGACCATGAATCCTCCCCGCTCTGGTCTGGACCAACATACTGAAGCAAAAAATAAAAATGGTAAAGGATAAAACAACAGTTTCAGAGCTACTTTACTCAAAAGTAAACACATACTACTTTTTCCACCACAATATACAGTATCTGATGAAGGCTATATTGTTTGTCGAAACGATTGTCTGTGCCGTAATAGCTTTTCACTCTCCAATGAGCCCGTTCTCCTGTTTAGCAGGCTTTGGAGTTGGAAAAGTCAGTTGGAGTGTAGCCCCTTCCCAGCAGGAGCGCTTCTGGTTTTTCTCTGCATGCGGGCACTCTATTGTACGTTAATCTGGGCTGCGTGTCTCGTGGTGCACATAAGACCGTGGCTGGTCCTAAGTCTGACCTTCCTCTCAAACTACTGGGACAAGTGTAGTTCTGCCTGGATTATCCTGCGGCCGCCTCCTGAGACTGCTGCCGTGTCACTTTGAACAGAATACTGCCGCCATTGCTCTATTCATTTGGGAATGATTTTTTTATATTTGTAAATTTGGATTTGGGGCTACCTCAGGTTAAAGGAAGCGGGATGAATCATGGATTTGTAGTGAACTGTTGAATTTATACATTTTTATTACAACATTTTCCAATAGTGGAATGGGCTTCACATGGAGCCAAACTTGTACTGCAGACTTTGCATGTTGTCATTTAAGTTGGTTAAAGGGGACATATCATGAAAAATCCACTTTTTGTGCCTTAAATGCCTTATGTTGTGTAGTTGGAGTCTCTAGAAGTGCAAAAAAGTTGAAATCAGTCTCTTCATGGGTTGCAGAGAACACTTCATATTCTGTTTAGGTAAGATTTTTCAACCCGTTCTGATTTTGCCATTCTCTATTACGTGTTTGGAATTATTACGTCACAGTATTTGCAGCGAGACTGCTATATAAGGGCATGGGCGTCTAACAAAACACTTCGGCCCAGCCCTCCTCTACTGTGCATCACTTAATTTGTAGTCCAAGCTCAAGGATGCCAGCGTACAGGGCTGGACTGGCCATCGGGCGTACCGGGCAATGCCCAAAGGGCCGATGCCCATATTTGGGCCGGTCTGTCTGCCTCATACAAAACACATGTTTATGAGAAGTGTAAATCCGTTGAGAATTGTTCGAGCGGGGCGCCCGTATCCGCGGGGCACCTGCTGTATGTACTCGAACGGGATTCCGCCACCTCAGCGGCCGCAGTGCTCCGGGGCATCTGCGGCCGCTTTGTAATGCGGCTGCGAGAAGCTGTGAGCGTCCAGCCGCTCGCAGCCGCTCCACAGTGTTGCGGCTGAGCGCGCAGCCTCATCGTGGCCATGTACCCAACCCCATAAACGCGCACAGGACCATGCGTGTCTTTGAGTAATCTGTGCACCCAATAAATACACTGCTGCAGGAAACAGTCCGTGTCTCCCCTCTCCTCTCGAAGCGCGATTAAACGCCCTAAATCAGTGGTCGGCAACGTCCGGCCCGGAGGACAATTTTGGCACGTTGCCAATATTTTTTGGCCCGCGGGAAGATTTAGAAAAAAAAAAAAAAAAGAAGCCTCACAGAGACTTAATTGCTCTTTATCCGCAAATGTTTTGCCCCTAATCTTTGCTTGTGTTTGGCACAACACCATTCCACATTTGCATTTTCATTCTAAGTAGCCTAACTTCTAGGTTAAATTGTGGTTTGTCCCGATCCGTATACTTAACCTCATACAGGCGCTACAGCGCTGCTCACGCTGTGCGTAAACTGCAGGTCAAAAAGTCGCGTGCCGGCCCGTGCGACATTCACGCACTCAGAAAGGGTTGAAAAACAGTGATAGGCACATGGAGACAGCGTGGGAAACTCGTCTTGGTTACAGAGATCTTTGACAATTTGCAGCAGTCATGCAGCATCTTGTTTGAAGTTACAATATTCTTCGAAAGAGATCTTTTCAATCCGCACAATTTTATCACAAAAATATTAATGTTAAAGTAGTCACAATGGAGAAATAAGTTGGGAAAAAGTGAAATTAAAATGAAGATGCTTTTCATAGTAGGCTACCCAACACCTAATTGTGCTTAGTGTTGAATTAAACTGCAATAAAATCCTCGCCAAATACGCTGATAATAAACATAAAAGAGCAAAGCTTTTGTCAAAGGATTAAATTCTTTTATTTTTTCATTCTAGCATATTCACATGCATGGCCTTTGGAATTAACTGAACCAAATAACTTTTTTTCTTGAAAGTAGAATTAAACGAAAGCTGAACAATATTA